TGCGCCTGAGCGCTGGGACCGATCGCGACGCGGTTTCGTATGAAAGGCTAGGTGCGATCGGATATGGAATAGTGCGAAGGAATCGACGATGTAAGGGCGATGGTGGACGATGGGTGGTGAGGGCTACACGTTCGAGCCGAGGTGGCGGGCGAAGCTGTCGGGAGCTATGTACGAAGCAAGCGCGATCCAGGAGCGTCTAGCACTCGCGCGTTGCCATGGAGCTAGTGAAGGAATGCGTAAGAACTGGAATAGTGTTGCAGATGAACGGCTCACTGGAGAGAGTGTAGGTGTTGTTGTGAGGCGTGGGCGCACAGGCAGCCGCAAGTGTCTGGGGTGCAGACGTCACTGCTCCAGCTTGGATAAATGGCGCGCGCCGGCCCAGGAACAGGAAGCACGGGCCCCATGTCACGCGTCTCAGCCACCCAACACCAAACCACATGCTAGAGGTTATCACAGTCTTCACCACATTGAAGTTGAGGGCAGTCTGTATATTGAACATTCATTCATGCGCATGGTATCGTAAATCCGTGTCTATATCCTATCCTACCATCCCATGCCTAAATCCATCACGTGTGTCTTTCGACGGGTATCCCTCTCTTTTAGCAAAACGAAACCTTCCTACTTGCGCAGATGCTGCACCAGCTCAACAAGCTGCGAGCGCGTCTCGTCCTCGAGCTGGTCCTCAGGCGGGCCGAGAACCTTCTCGAACACGGGCATCAGCGAAGATGTGAGCTGCTGCACCGTGGGCTCGTTGAGTTGGTAGAGCTTGACAATCATGCCGAACACAGGCTTGTTCTCCTCGTAGTCCTCACGCAGAGGCAGGAGCTGCACCAAGCGGGGCAGTACCTCGGCAATGGGAAGCTTGCTAGGGTGCTTTGCGATGAATCTGCTGACGCATCCAGCCGTGTTGTCAAGAAGACGTGCTTGGTCCTGCGCATCGAGAAGAGGCTCGAGCTTGGAGAAGATGGTAGGCAATGACTTGAGGATCTCGTCGTCATTGGTCGTCTTCTCGCACAAGAGGCCAATACCGTAGACAGCGTTGGACTTGGTCTCTGGGTCTTCATCTGAGAGGCGGTGGAGGAAGAGCTTCAGCATGCTAGTGGTGTAAGGAGTGCAGGCGGCACCCATGTTGCCGACACACTCAGCAATAGCGCCAACGGCAGCGGAGCGCTCGGTGGATTCCTGGCTGCTGGCGTACTTGACGATCGGCTTTTCGAACATCTTCCACAGTTCAGCGAACTGCTCACCAAGTGCGACAGAGAGGCAGGTGACGGCCTCAAGGGCTGTCTCAATCACGAGCCAGTCGTACTCAGAGGATTCATCCATGATCTCCTCCTCAGCCTCGTCGCCGAGATCCTGCTGGCAAGGGTGACGCTTCGTGATAACGGCAAGCAGGTGCTGGCAAAGATCAGGTACAACGGTGCCGTTGTCGGTCAACAAGATAGCCGGTCCGCAGACCTTGAGGGTAGCCGCGACATCACGGTTGATGTCAGTGACAGTGCCACTGGAGCTCGTTAGCCAGATTCTCAGGTATACATCATGTATATGTAGTAGTGTTGAGAGTTGCTCAGTCGTGATTTCGCTTTCACCTCAAGTGCACTTTGGCATCGGAGTGAGCTGGGATTAACGACAGTTGTGTCATCTTTGCAACGTGTGTCAGGAAAGAAAGTTGAGGGTACATACCGGTCCATCTCGTCTTGCCAGATTGTCATGGTGGCAGTCATGACGAGGTTGCCCAGCTTCTTCAGCTCATCGGGAATGTCCACCTTTAGAGGAAGACCAGGCTGCCACTTGCCCATACCATCGCCCTCGGCCATGCCGAAGAGGCAGGCAAAGGTGCGCCAGAGCGTACTGATAGCAGCCTTGCGAATACCCTCGTAGGAGTGGTCAACAAGTTCGAGCAGCTTGGTGACAGTCGACTCCATGTAAGGGATGAATTCACGGCGGGTGTGCGTGATGATGTCTCCGAAAACTTCAGCCGCGATCTCCTTCTCCATGGCAACAGCGCTGACGCCCTCGAGGTCATCCCAGTCGTCGTCGTCATCACCGGCCATGAGAGCTTCGTTCAGGTCGCTGTCATCGTCGTCGTCATCGCTAGCAGCTGCGACCTTGATCTTTTGGCCTTGGATGGTAACTTCTTGGCCGGCCAGGTCTGCCGCCTCCTCACCGAACTCGAGATCAAGGTTGGTCTCCTCCTGCTCAAGGCAGTCGTTGAGTCCCTTGACGATGCCGGCAAGATACTTAGCGAAACCCTCCTCGTAGACCTTGGCCAGGACACTCCAGAGGATGTAGCTGGTCTCCCTGAGACGGGGGTGGTCCAAGTGCAGAGCTTCCTCGGAGGCCTCCATTAGGGGCATAACGTATGGCTCGAAAGGCTCAGGGCCGACAGCGGACGCAATCTTGGCCATGGAATCGCAAGTGACACCGCGGAGATCGAGCTCGTCTTGGCTGTCCTTGATCCTTACGTAGGGCGAAAGCTCTTGCATGGTCTGGGCGAAGAAGGGGATGAAGGCTGTCTCAGCGGCAGAGGCGATGGAGCCAACGGCACCGATAGCTGCGCTCTTCACCTTGAGGTCTTCGTGGTGGAAGAGCTTGCTGAAGCGTGGGATGAGTTCAGGTACGTACTTGCCAGCGTCCTCTGGCTCGAGACCCTCGATGAGAGAATCGATAGCATGGCAGCTACCACGGACAATAGAAAGGTTGCGCTCGTCATCCGAACCCTGCATGTTGTTGGCGGCGAGGTCGAAGTTCTTGATCATGGCGGGGATCAGGCGGGCGTGCTCCTTGCCAACGTCCTCGGCCAGGTCATCAGCCAAGCGAGCGACACCGTTGAGAGCGGCAGCTCGGACCTTGAGCTCAGGGTCCTCCAACAAGTGCAGGACCATGGGCATGATCTCGTTGAGCTGGGTAGCAATGAAGTCAGGCGCGCCCTCGACACACATGCCAAGAGCCAGAATACCGGCTTGACGGTAGTCGGGGTTCTGCGACTGGAAGTAGTTGCCAAGGTTCTTGAGAAGGGGAATGACAACTTGGCTGGGAGGTAGGCTTGAGGCAAGGATATCGAGAAGTCCAAGAGCGGAACGGGCAGGAGTGACATCCTCCTCCTCGCTGGAGAGGTCACCGAGCTCGGTGACGATGTGGAGAGCCTTCAGGGTCATCTCCTCACCAATCCTCAGACCCTGCACCTTGAGCTTCCTGTAGCGAACGCATTGCATGAGGAATGCGAGCGCCTGGGAACGGTAGTCGTCTTCGACGTTGGTGCTTGACGCAAGCTCGAGCATGAAGCGGACGAGATCGCCAAAGTGCTTTGCGAGAAGCGCGGACTCGCAGCCAAGAAGAGTCTGGAAGACCTCGAAAGCTTGCATGGCGCGGTCCTCGTCACCCTCATCGACGGTAGTCTTCAGAACGTTGACCATGCCAGGGATAGACTCCTGGAACAGAGCAAGCTCCTTGGGGCTCTCGTCAGGCTCAAGCAACATAGCTAAGCGACTGAGACCAAGCATGGTGTTGATCCTGACTTCAACGCTCTGGGGGTCTTGGATGGTGGAGCTGAACAGCTTGTACAGATCGGCTTGCTTGCCGGGGAACGAGTCGCCCGCTGACTCAAGCGTGGTGAAGATGATGTAGGTACCGACTTCACGGTGGCGCGCCTCGTTGCTGGTGGCAGCCTGCTGGAGGTAGCCGGGTAGGTCAGCCCACTCGCCATCTTCGAAGTCTTGCGACGCGATAGCCGAGATGACGCGGGCAGCAGAGTGCCGTGTCAGAGTCACGTCCTCGTTCAGTGTGAACTGGAACAGCTGGTTGCGGAGAGAGTTCTTCTGGTCCGCAGGCAGGTTGGCCCAGTGCTTCGTCACCAGCTTCCTAGCCTCGACGGCCGCCAGTTGGCGGAGTTGAGGCTTGGGGTGGCCGCAGAGGATTTGAAGAAGGGCATTGAGAGAGGCGGGGGAGTTGTAGTAGTTCTTGTTGAGGGTAGAGGTAGCGGATTTGACACGCTCAGTGTCGGCTGGAGAAAGTCAGTCCAGGTTCTGTGGTAGAGCGGGGTTGGGTAACATACGCTCCATGAGGCCCTCGAGCAGCTGGACAAACTGTTGCTCGTCCATGGCGATGCTCTCACGGTGTGGTTGTGTAGAAAGCAAGGCTGTGGTGATCTATCGCGGGGCAGCGAAGACCTTTGATATTTACAGTTGTGAAAAGGAGCGCCGCTCGATAGAAGAAGGTGGGATTTCAACTTTTTTAGTGGGTCCAAAAATTAGGGTCCAAAAGTTAGGTAAGCCGGTTCACCGACCAATGGCAAACGAGCGCGGCAAACTCGAGAAGCAAACGCTGCAGGAGCACGTAGCAGCGCGGAAAGCCTTCGGTGGGGACTCTCCTTTCGGTGTCCCTGTTGGCTAGTGGTCGTAGAGTCTGACCTGGTGCGTCGGTAGACTGCGCTGAAGATCGACTGTGCGAGCTGGCAGAGGATCTTGAGCTCGAGCATTGAAGCTGCTTCGTCGAGAGATCGAAGAAAAGCCCGATGGAGGAAGTAGTGTGTCAAATGCCATCATCTGAAGTTGGTGACAGCTCTTCAGGTAGCTAGGAGACGAGGCCGCGAGGGCTGGCAGTGATGCAATGCGCATGCCAGGAGGTAAAGCAGAGGGAAGCCATCTTGTCAGAAGCTTGCATGACGAAACCGAGATGAAGAAACAGCGATACCATGAGAAATCAAAGCTCAATGGATGGAGGAAGCTGGGGGAGCTGGAGATGTAGAGGTTCCAGACAGCTCCAACGCGACTTGATAGGACGCGCTAGGCCAGGGTCTGTGCGGCGGAAAGCTGTTAGCAAAAACAGAAGGAGCAACGGCAGACCAGACAACTCGCCGCTGCCATCACTAAAGAGGAGGCTCTTCCACTACATTCTCTCTTACTCCGAAATTGTAATACCCCACTCCATCTCCGCCGCCCACCCCAGCCATCTGCATCTCTCACCAGGACACGTTGCTCGACCCCTCCGCCTCCGACTCCATGGCTTCAGTATGTCTGGCAATTGCCGCTCCAGTCTGACAACATGTGACATCGATACTGACCTCATCCAGCAAGCTCCCAACCAGCCGCGCCCTTACCCAGGCAACTACCTCCCTAATGGCGGCGCTCCCGGCGGTCCCTCAGGCCCAGCGCCTGGAGCTGTCCCGCTGCTCCCCAACCAGGGCCGCGTGATCCAGCAGGGAAGCGTTCGAGTGCTGTGCATTGCAGATGTCCGAGGTGAGGGCGATAACAACACCAGAACATCAACTTCATCGCTAACATCAGTCAGGAAACCTGCAATCGCTAAACCAGCTCGCCGCCGACGCCCGCGCAAACTACATCATCCACACCGGCGACTTTGGCTTCTACGACGACCGCTCGCTCGATCGCATCGCCGAGAAGACTCTCAAGCACGTGGCACAATACTCACCGCTGTTGTCAGATGCAGTTAAGCGCTCTATTGCCACAGCCCCTCCGCAACCGCCTATCAAGGAGCGCTTCGCACGGGAGCACCTGCCACTCTCAGAACTGCCCCTCTTCCTCAACAAGACATACACCCTGAACGTGCCAGTATACACCGTGTGGGGTGCTTGCGAGGATGTTCAGGTCCTGGAGAAGCTGCGATCGGGCGAGTACAAGGTGGACAACCTGCACATCATCGATGAGGCGCATTCGCGGCTGCTCGATGTAGGTGGCGTCAAGCTGCGCCTGCTCGGTCTCGGTGGCGCTGTCGTCATGCACAAGCTCTTCGACAATGGCGAGGGCAGGACGACCATTGCAGGTGGACAGGGCACCATGTGGACTACCCTGCTACAGATGGGCGAACTGGTCGACACAGCCAACCGCGTATACGACCCGACCGAAACCCGCATATTCGTCACCCACGCATCTCCCGCTCGCGAAGGCCTGCTCAACCAACTGTCCGTGACGCTCAAGGCCGACTTCTCCGTCTCCGCTGGTCTGCATTTCCGCTACGGTAGTTCTTACAACGAGTTCAGCGTTAACCCCACCCTCGACCATTACCGCGGAAAGCTCGCTGCATCCAAGGCCTCCTTCAACGATGTTTGGGATACAGTCAAGACTGAAGTCGAGCCCGCGGTCGCTGACAGCGAATCTCAACAACGCCTGCTGGCACTGGCACTTGACATAGTAAACAAGATGCCAACCGTAGCCAACGGCGGCAACCCATTCGGTGGCCCTGCTCCCGGTCCTCAGAGCGGCCAAATCGACGAGAGCGCTTTCAAGAACATGTGGAACTTCAACCTTGCGGATGCTGCTTACGGTTGGCTCGTACTGGATATTGACAATGGCAGAATCGGTACTGAGATGAGGGCCCAAGGTTTCAACTTCGCTCACCGAGGCGGAAAGGTTGCACCTGGCCAGACTCAGCCCGCAGCTGCGAACACTAGCACTGGTCCCCCAGCTGCCGTGAACCCCAGCCCCTCCGCGCAGCCATCGCCTGCCCCAGGTCGTTCAGCCGGGCCACCAGCGAACGCTCCCCAGCAGCCCCGCCCTGCCGTTGCGACCCCACCGGTTCCTCAACAGCAGAAGCAGAATGCCGGCCAGGCTGCACGGACCGGACCCTCGCCCGCCCCTGCTGCTGCACCCAAGGAGTCCGTCAAGGCCGCTACACCCCAGCCTCCAGCCAACAACACGGCCGCCGCTGAAAAGTCCATTCCAAGCGAGGTCAAGCCCAATGGCACCGGCGCGCCAGAGAAGGCTACATCCCCAGCTCCCCGGGAACCCGTCGAGCGCAAGGAGAGCAAGGGTCTCTTTATTGCCGGTGTAAAGGATGAGGAAGAAGCCAAGGGTCTGCTCGCAGAGGAAGACAGGTCCAAGGTCGAGAAGATGGAGAAGATCAAGCACTTCTTCGTCGCCCACTTCGCCACCTCGCAGGACATGCACGGTGCGCTTCGTCGCGTTGCGGACGATGTCAGGAACGCTAGGGGCGGCCCAGACAACAAGACCGTCAAGGTGTACAACGAGCGCGGCCCTGGTCCCAACCAGCCTAGGTACGGAGCCGGCAGCTGGCAAGCCAGCACCCGTGGTGGCGTCTCCGGCGGCGGCTACCGAAGTGGAGGTGCCTCAGACAGCGAGGGTGGTCGCGGCGGTCGCGGAGGCCGTGGCGGTGCTTCTCGTGGTGGACGAGGTGGCGAGCGAGGCGCACGCGGAGGCCGCGGAGGAAGGGGATCATTCAGAGGTGGTGAAGGTGCTCCCGCAGCATCAACAGGAGGCGAGTCATAAACACTGCCTGACCGCACCTCCACATCCTCACCGACTCTGATACCCCTTCTTTCTTCTTCGGTTCCGTGCTAATGGCTGCCATAGCAAACATGACGCGGTCTGTCCCAGGCGAGTTCGTCTCTGGCGACATCCGCAACCATGTGCTCTAGCTTTTATCATGTTTTCTGGGAGCGATTTTCCATACCTTCTTCGTAGCGGGCGTGGGTTGTGCGGGTTTTCCTTTTCAAGTCCCTGTCTAGATGGGACCAGGATGGGTGGATCGGCGCTTTATGTGGTCCTTGGCTTCCATGTTTTGGATCGCTGGGGCAAGGCTTTCGATGAAGTATGGTATCTATGTACTGTAATCACAAAACATTAAGAAACATGTCGTGAGCAATCGTCTTTGACCTGATCGTGTTCTTGATGCACCCAAAATAAGGAAAAGCCTGAACACACTGGAGCCTACCTTGACGTTGAGTAATCTGTTTTGTATGTTTCTACGTTGGTGTAAGCTGCAGACCTGTTCAAGCTCGTCCTGTATGAGGTGGCTGTGTCGTATATCGTCTTTGGGCTGTACCTTGGTTGGGGCGTATTGTCTAGTCTAAATCCAGCGTGACTGCGACATCTTAACCAAGGTACGTTAATTCATCAGTTAATCTTGTGTATATTAGAGAACACCAAGTCCTGTTTTCGCCTTTCGTTCTCGTTCTTAAAATCTTACAGCATACCACTTGATACCCACTTTTCCCTCTTCTATCATCACCGCTCTCTCGATACCATCAAGATTATCAAGATCGCTTCAAACATGCCAAAATCCAACATCATGCAAGGCAAGCCAAATTCACAGCCAACATTCCCTGTAGACGAACCCGCATCAGTCTTCGATCTCTTCGAGTCTCTCCCTACAGAACTCCAAGCCCGCATCATCAAATACGCTTGGAACAATGCCATACACGCATCACCGCGACATCTCCACGCCGACATCAGATTTCGCCGCCCCCATTTTGCAGCCTCTGTACTAGCAGCAAGCATTCCCTGCTCAGTACATTACCGAGTCCACGCCTCTGTCAACCGAGACATCACCTTGCACCTAACCAGCAAGTTCTTCTCCGCCGAGTGCAAATTCCTCGCTAAGCCGCACCACCTCCACCTCCCCGTTTCCAATTCAACTGGAAGCGGACTCGCTGCAACCAAACCCCTCCTCTTCATCCCAGACAGGGATATCCTACATATCAATATCAAAGGCGAAATCACATACAAATCCACCGTCCTCTCCGCTTTTGCCGCATTGCCCAAATCCCTCCGGGAGATGGTCAAACATATCGACATCGACTACACAGACGCACAGGACATGCTCGAGCTCTGCTTACAGCTGGGGCCTAAAGGTAGTCTTACGAGCTTGATCGCCGGGCTCGGAGCGCCGGAATTGGAGACTGTGACAATCTCGGTGTGTAGCCTAATCGTGGAGGGGAATCAAAGGATGGGGTTTTTGACGATGCCTGGGAGGGAGGGGAAGGCGGTGGAGATGAGGGTGAAGGCTGTGGATGTACGGGAGGGGTTGACATTTTGGGAGAGGATTATGAGATGAATGGGGTGGTGACCACCTGATACAAGGGAGAAACTGAAAACCCTAGAGCCGACGTTGACGTTAGGTCCCCTACTTTGCACGTTTTCATCTTAATGTAGGCTATAGGGTGTTTAGTTTTTCTCCTTTGTAAGATAGTGTTGGATCGATTCTGCGCCCACGTTTAGGCATTCCATCAACGTACTCCTGCTCTTTACAGTACAGGTAACGATGCAAATGTCAAAGACGCGCGAACTCACATGTCTGGAACGCCATGGAAAGGCGACGTGGCTGTAGAGTGGGTCGCTTATATAACCGTCTGATGCGCCGAGGCCAGTCCCATCCGCATGCCGCCATCGATGTCACCAAGCCAACCCCATCTTGCCATGCAGCCGCCATAGCTCTTCCGCATGATTCCCGCGCTTATACAAGACAATAGACGTTTGCGACCCGGTCCCTGAAGGCCGCCTACAAAAACTTCGCGTTTGCCACAGTTCATCCACCAATGGCGACGCGACGTGTCCGCGGTAGATCGACGGCAGATACTCCTAAGCCTCTCCAACGACGTAGCGCCGATGGATGATGCTTGTTGAGACACGACTACCGCGACTTTGGCGAAGGCGAACCAATGCATGACGCAGAAGTCTGTAAGGTGGACCGTCGGACATTGTTGATGCGCGGAGGCGGCTGCCAAACATGGAGATGGTGCCGTCTGGGGCTCGGTGACGTCTCCGACCCCCCCATCCCACCTCCGACAACTTTTTCCCCAGACAACGTTTAAAGGTCCAGAACATCCGCATCTAAACAGTCACAAACTCTTTACTTTTTCTTCTTGATACCCCAACTTCACCAATTGCAATCATGTCTCTCGGAAGGAAGGTTACTCTCAACACTGGCGCTGCCATTCCGTGAGTACCCAAACAAACACCCCGCAGACATACGTAGCAATTGCTGACCTTTCCAGCCAACTTGGTTTCGGCACATGGCAAGCTGAGCCTGGTCAGGTCGGCGCTGCCGTCCTCGAGGCCCTCAAGGCTGGCTACCGCCACCTTGATCTCGCCAAGGTCTACGGCAACCAGAAGGAGATCGCCCAGGCCCTCAAGAAGGCTTTCGGCGGCGAGGTCCCCAACCTCAAGCGCGAGGACGTCTTCATCACATCCAAGCTGTGGAACTCGCAGCACCGACCCAAGGACGTGCCCGGCGCTCTCGACGACTGCCTGGCTGAGCTTGGTCTCGACTACCTAGACCTTTACCTCGTCCACTTCCCCGTCGCTTTCGACGAGCGCGGCGATGTCCACAACAACCTCTTCCCTCTCGAGGGCGAGGACGTCAAGATGCTCGACGACGTCTCTATCGTCGACACATGGAAGGCCATGACACAGCTGCCCAAGGAGAAGGCGCGCGCTGTCGGTGTCTCCAACCACACCAAGGAGCACCTCCAGGCCATCATCGACGGCACCGGCGTCACCCCCGCTGCCAACCAGATCGAGCGCCACCCTCGTCTCCTCCAGCCAGAGCTCATCCAGTACTGCAAGGAGAAGAACATCCACATCACCGAGTACTCCGTAAGCCACCTTCCCTTTCCCCTCCCAGATTCAACACCCACTAACCACCCCTCTAGGCCTTCGGCAACAACATGGTCGGCGAGCCCCTCCTCGTCCAGCACCCCACCATCAAGGAGATCGCCACGCGCATCAACGCCTCCCCCGCACAAGTCATCCTCGCGTGGGCGCAGGTCGGCGGCCACTCCGTCATCCCCAAGTCCGTCACCGCGTCGCGCATCCAAGAGAACTTCAAGGAGGTCGATCTGTCGGAAGATGACTTTGCCAAGGTCGAGGAGATTGGCAAGAAGGAGCCGCGTCGCTTCAACATTCCTTACACGGCTAACAAGCCGAGGTGGCCGGTTAACATCTTTGGTGAGCCCGAGGAGAAGGATGCGCCGCATAAGGTTGTGATCAAGGTCTAGGTGATCTAGGGATTGTCTAGTCGTTGATGTAAAAATGTAAATGAATAATAGAACAATACCCCCAATCACATCATACCTTGAGTTGTGAAGTCGATGGCTTGCGCATGCTTATTCGAAGAGCCTTCGTGTCGTGTTGGCCTTAATCTTTGCCATTGTATTTCGTTTTCATGTACAGCGCCAACTACAGCTCCTAACCTAGCATTTTACCTTTCTTGTTCTTTGTAAATCTCTAATAGGCAAGTCAGAGTCGTATCTTTCATACACACTTTACCACTGTGTCTTTTGTAGACACGAGTAAGCTGGTCATGCTAGATTTAGATACTTTATCATACCTACCCATGTTTCGAATCTATGGCCTTCACAGATCCGGTCTAACAGGGCTGGGTATGCATGATCATTTGTAGGGATTCGAGCACGACAAAAGCTAAAAGATGTAGATTTACTGGAAATCTGTTTCAGCGCAATGGATGCACGTCGATATGGCTTTCAGTATCAGCATCATCGCATGCCCAAACACCCAAAATGCCATTCACAGTCGATGAAATCGCATCATTACAAGACGCGCGCAAACAGGATACCTAGGTATGGTTATCGGGGAGCGAGCGCGATGGCCCGAAAGTGCAGGGATGAGCACGCGGGTAAGCTAGACTAGGCGGCATGACGTAGTATTGGTCTCGAAACCAACGCGCTTCACTGCGCTGCATTTGCGCACTTCACGTCTGCACTGTATGTTACATCGTATTGAGCTTTCTAATTTCTCCATGGGATGTGTGATAGCATTCAGCACAAGACCTAGATCATGCCTTCTTCATTCTGGTGCACTGGACCCTGTTCGAGCCTTGTTGAGCCTATTACGACGCGATTAATCACTTTCTGGGGTCAAATGTCTCGTTACCGTCCTTCTAACTCCCAGTCACTTGCTCTTTCTTCGGTCTTTCCGTTTGCCTGCGTACCATGAGGACGAACACATTCGCACGGGGCTTTATGGGCCCGAAATTTCCTCCGTCATCCATCTATAATCACTTGCTCACCTACACCACTACACCGATACACCTTCCGCAACAGCAAGGAGCCCAGCTGTGGAAGCAACACTGCAGCAGTCGAAGACCCTTACCTGCTCGCTAATCTGACAGGCGAACGTCACAAGAACTTTCAGGGTACTACTGCACCTCAACCCTACACACACGCACCATCTCAGTTCTTAGCAGCACATTCACTTCGGCTTTTCCCCGTCGCTTATATTTGTAGACAGACTTAGATTTTACAACACCAAGATTTTCGCGAATACAATCCAAAGCCCGACAATCCCGCCCACACTGCGCAACCGTCACGATGCCTCTGAATAATGGCGCCAAAGCGGCGAACGAGCACCTCATCTTCGTAAAGAACGTACCCGGCTACATCGAGACAGACGAGTTAAAACGAATGTACGAAAGCTACAATCCGACAAGCCTTAAGAACGTCTATCCGAATAGCAATGTTACCACCATCGTCGTCGGCTTCCGCACCAAAGCCGAAGCAGCGCGAGCTCAAGAGGAGACAGACCAGACACGCATAGCAAACGTCATTCTCAAAGTGGAAATGTACAATCAGCGGCAGTCAGTGAGATACCTGCGGGATCAAGGGCAAGCAAGTCGGCCGCTGGGAATGGCGGAGCAGGACGAACCAGGATACTTCGACGAGCCAGCGCAAGAAGACGCGCCAGTCTTCACGCCACCGCTGGAGCCATACGTTGCGAGAGATCCCGCGGCGGCGCCACAGGGTACCACGTGGGCTGACATCGCTGGCAATCGAGCTGCTCCGGTCAAGCACACGGGCAAGCTAGAAGGAACAGACAGCCCAGCGACCGTACCATCCACACCTAACTTCACACCTCGCATGCCAATAGCTGTCCCGCAGAAGCTCCCGCCCGGCCAACCACAGCCAGGTAGCTCACCACCCCCAGCGGCCGTCTCACTAGGACACAGCACTCCCGAGGTGCTCCCTATCCCGCCGACCATCAGCGCCGTTAGCACCGACAGTGGCAGCGACACCACCGATGAGACCGATGAGGATGAAGAGCGCGACAGGATGATCAGCGATATCGCCATCTGGCAAGCGACTGCACAATGGGCGACTGAGACAGGCGGTTACCATTCGCCGGGTCAGGAAGTAGAGCCTCTCGATACTACAGCGCGGATTCGGCAACGACATTGTCGGGACTGTGTGTTTTGTCAGATGCGGAATCGCTCTTAGGAGGAGGATGAAGAGCATCAAGATGAGCGTCAAGAGACGGAACCGGTCTTGCTGATGGGAGACGACACAGCGTCTTGCTTCAAGGATACTTTAGAGGAATTGGAGACACTTGGAACCTGCCTTGGGGAATATCTGATGAAATCTTTGGACTTTTGCTAGAATAGTCGCGATAGTCGGAGAATCAGAAGCTTGTCAGACAGTCTCTTTCTGTGGATATGATTCAGTGATGCGTTACAGAGTAAGGGCGATAGTCTGGGCGGGATGTGCTTGCTGCTACCACCACTGCATCTATTCCAGCTCGTACCGATGTCAATATCTGGGTATGCGACATACTAACTGCCCTGCTGTCGCGACGAAGAACGTAGTGCGCCTTTGGCTCCGACTGAGACTTGGAGTTGGTTCGCGCTGGTCACCAACCTCCGCTGCGGACTGACGGTCGGCCAATATGATCGAATAAAGAATATATGTTGGGAGGACAAAGACGCGTCGCGCATCTGGCAGCGGCGACGCGACGGATGCGCGGGTTAGCTTCATCAACGTCATCGTGGCTTCCGTCCGTGTTAGCGTCCCTGCATGTGGGCAGGGGCTTCTTGCCGCCATCCTCAAACCATCAACCTTCATCGCTTTCATCGTCACATTCATCTCAGGTGCTTATATATCTAGAGCTGCATCGTAGCCCTGGCGGCGCCTATGGAAATTGCGCAGTACTCACGACGACTACCCCCAGGCTGTCGTTCACCCACGCATGACATTAGGAGACGAAAGCTCACGCAGTGGAATCTTCTTTGATCACTGTTCATTCATATGTAAGCTTGTACGCTCAGCACCTTGGAAGCTTGAAAGCTTGTAAGCTCTACAGACCCGTGCTCTACCCATGTTGCAATGCTAGTGCATGCTAGATGAAATCGCTGACATGAAATTCAGGGACGTCATACTGACTCCCATAGCTAGGCTTCTCAGCCCGCTCGCGCGATGTTACCGACCATAATCTCGTGCCAAACTGTCCACTAGATCATGCCAGCTGCAGGCGCCACCTGGTTCCAGTCGCAGCCCTCCGGTGGGTTTTTGAGAATCCGAGAGACAACGAACTGGTGCAACATGTTCACATCCTGCACATCTTGCAGGCCACGGATTCCAGAGTCTAACAAGAGAAACCTTTTCCAAAGCTCCTTGTACTCGCGGACGTGCATGGGTGTCCTCGCATCTGGCTCCATGGCTTTAAGTTTCTCGCGATATTTCTCGGCCGAGCTACGGGCCAAGTCCGCATCGACGACATCACTGTAACAACGAAGTCGTGCATCAAACGCCAACGCCTTTAGGTTTGCGATAATCGTTTGTCCGATGGTCTTAGGCTTCAGTGAGCGTATCGCTGCGATTTCCTCTTCGGTCAAGGGTTCGTCATCCCAAGTCAACTCTTCAACTGGGTTGGATAGCCCGGAAACGATCGACGAGGGAGCATACAGCTCAAGAGCCAGCGATGAGGTCTTTTCTATGTCGCAGCTCATGCCAACATCTTCCAAAGCGCTCGGTCGGTGAGACGCGCGGATCATCTGCTTCTCATGTATTGGAGCCTCCGTAGCGCCGAGGACGGATCCGGCAGGTAGTGATGAGGATATCTGGTCGCCAACCAAGCTCATGCAGCTTTCAACTGTGGTACGGTTGATGAAGTTCTCCTGGGTTTTTGAAGCGATGAGTGCATCTTTCATGTACTCGGGCATGCCCGCGACCGCTTTACCACATGCTGGATCCACGGAAGCCACATCACGTGTGCCTAGCGGATGGTGATCAGCAATGGCGGGCTCCGCAGCGACAGGGTTGATCGAGTCCATATCAATATGCTCTGCTTCGGCAGCTAGCGCCCTTTTGGAGATGAGCTCCGAGCACGCCCTTATAAAAATGATCGCGGACGCCGGTTCCAGAGCGCCGTAGATGTCCATGTCTTTAGTAGCATGGATGGTTCTTGACTCGTCCAGGTTGATGACTGATATTTCGTTGCCTGCCTTCGGATCTCTGCACCATCCGACCTTGACGACAGGGTGGCCATGAGCGTTCGAATTGCTAATCCCCTCCGGATACAATACTCGCAAGTACTGCTCGTGCTGAGCTGCGGTCAAGTTCGCATCGCTCGGCTTGTCTTGTCGAGTCATCCTCCTGCAGTCAAAGGTCCATGTCTCTTTGTTCACTGAGAAGACGATCCAGGGCGCGGACTTGAACAGGTAAAAACCGTCGGGGGTGGGGAAATATCTGGAATCATCGGGTCTAGCATGAGGATTGGTGGTCTTTTCTGAGTAGATCTCCCTGATTATCGTACCGGACTTGATCTTGTTGAACTCCTCTTCCACGGCCTTCTCCTTGATCTTGGTCCAGCCCGGGACTAATTGCATCTCTTGGCGGACTGCTTTCGCGAGGGACTTTCCGTCTACTTTGGATGGTTCAGCTTGGTTGACGATCTTATCGCGTGTGGTACGACCGGCGGGGTGCCTAGCAGCAGTACTTGTAGCCGGTGGATGTACAGTGCGCCCTGGAGTCGACACCGTATAACGGCCAAGCCTCGCCGGTGTGTGACCGTGGTTTGCTTGCGGGAGACCTACTCGACTGTTAGCGCTGTCACATTCACAAGAGATTCGATTACTCACGAAGCACATCTTCTCGAAATAGCCGATGGGTTTGATGGGCTTGGTAGGCCGGTCGCCTATGCGGCTGACCTCTCTTCGTCTTCTTTTCTCTAGGCATGTCGAGACGACGCGCTCTGGTTTTGTCGATGCAAGTGGATGATATCGTTGGCTTATTGGAGGAAGCGTCAGCAACCCGCCAACTGGGTCGTCGACACTTTGGGCGCAAAAGACTAGCAAATCGCTCAACGCGTAGTTGAGCTGAGTTGGAAGACCGATGCGGGCGGAGTGGTTTGCGACCGCTGTTGCTAATCTTTGGAGACTAGAGCGCTGAATTGGACTAGGCGTATGCATTCATTGCGTACAAAAACAATGGCCAAAGCGCGTTCGACCGCAAATGCGAATTTCCCCAACACGTGCGAAATCAACAGCTCAGTGAAAGCTCAGGCAGAGCTTGCAGAACGGGATCGTGTTTCGAGCTTTCGAGCTTTCGACCTCCTTACACCAACATCGCGTTCAGTCTGGATTCACACGCGGGCACATCTCGTCTCGAACGGAAGCTATATAAGATCACGCTGTGGCCAAACCCTTACGTACTTGTTCAGTCTTCCCAGCCGTACTTCCCTGGATTTTGATACGACAGGGACAAGTTTTCGCATCAAGCTGACATCTAGTGGCTGTGACAACACTGGAATATAGCGATGAAACAGTACATGCACTAAAATGACAGCTGCCGCGAACATGCGAACTAATTACGAAGTATGAGCCACGAGCGTCTGCACTGCGGACAGCTCGTCTTATCATGAGCCCTCCCGGGCATCCTGAAGAGAGTAAATTTTGGCGCTTACCAACGACGCAAACAAACCGAGTCTAGCGGCTTACTCACCACTCATGTGCATCAATCTAAGCTCATGAAGCTGTCTTCCGGCGTCAACAATGAGTTCCAACCCCTTACTTGGAAACAAAGAACCATGCATGTCGTTGAAAGATATCAACAAAGCCACTAGGCTATTCGTGGGACGGCCTTTGTCTCCGAATTCCCGATACACAAAGTAATTCGCTGAACTTCAGCCCGATGCTACCCTGGCCCAACTCGCGCATTCTAGGCAGTAACGTGTTTTCGGAAATTAAACACTTTGCACTCCTGAGATTCCAATGTCCGCATCAAACGGCGAGCAAGTGTCGAACACGCAGTCGAATCACCCTGAGACAGAAAACCCTCCACCGCATAGTCCACATTCGGAGAGCACAGAAGACCAAAATGCCATCCCAAGGACAGTCGAACCATTGCCAGAGGGATCCAGACTTTGGCCGGTCGCAGAGCGGGATGAAAGGTCCAGTGAAAGTTACAAAGCGGCCTCGGCCACCTTGATTGAGGTTCCTGTCGACGGCAAGCCAGTCATGGCGCTTCTTCTCTCGCACGAATTGGGCCAACGAATGTTTAAATCTGTGGAGCTACAACTCGAATTTGGAGCACTCGAAGATCGGTCTAAAGAGGAGATCCCAGCGATTGATCACAAAATATTTCACCTCCAACAGATAGTCGATTCCACAAAGTCGGGTCTAGCAAGTGTCGAACGCATCCAACTTGGCTTAGTGAAGCAGCAAGACCCTAAAGTTGTCGCAATGCAATCAAAGGCAAGAGAGGAACTACTCAAGGATGAGGAGGAGCTATCGCTGCTCCAAGAGGAAAAGGCAGAGCTAGAGCGCAAGGTTCACGACGCGAACGAGGAATGGTATAAATTGGCGTGGAATGTATGTGTTCACCACCATATTGCTTTCATCAAAGCAGGATTCAAAGGAGAAGATGGGGACAGCGAAGATGGAGAAACATCGAGCGCGGAGTCTGAACCAGGTGAAGAAGCCAGTGGCGCAAAGGAGTCGGAAAGGAAATCTAGTCCAACGGCAGCGAAAGATGCACTGCAGCCGGTGGCTGGAAACGAGATGGCTATGGTGCTGTACACCGGTAACAAAGCAAAGCAGGATACCACAACCCGGAATGCGGACGTTCCCCAAAGCAAGCCCCCTGATCTCACCATGACTCGATTCACAGCAGAGGATGAGATAAGACTCAAACTCCTCGCAGCAAAGAAGGCTTTTAGCGAAGCTGACCACGCACACGATAAACACCGAAAATGCTACGAACTTACATTCCTTAGATACTGCGCACAGTACCCGACCAAACCCGAGGCTGAACTTGCCGCTCAATTTCCCCGCTTCTTCATCAAAAAGGGACAAGAGCTCATAAACGCATTACGTGTTGCGGAGAAAGCATACCATGAGGCAGAGAAACGCGCCATGGATGTGAACGTTTTCACCATTCCGGACGAACTTATCGAAGCAAATGTTAACCCATATTTGGATATCGATGATCTGGAGGCGATGATGAAGCCATGGAATGATAAGGACCGGGCGCGCATTTACAATTGGCGTCATGTCGATGCGGGTGTTCTCACTCCGCCGTCTATTCATACGATAGATACGTTCTATGATGCGAGTTCCAGCGACGATGGAAGCAGCACTGGTAGTGTTGTAAATGCGCAAGATGGTGGGATACAGAGAATAGAAGCCGCTCAACCGTCAGCACCATCCACGAACAACATTGTCGCAACCAGCTTAGCAACACCGGCGCAAGATGAACCCGAGCCTCGTCCCGCGGAGGATGACATCCCAGAGGGAGTAGTCGTATTGAGCAAGCCCGTTGCAAATCAGAACTCCTACTCGTCGACCGAATTAGCGTCTACGATAGATGGCGCAGCTCCAGCTTCTTCCTCTGGGGTGGAAAAGCGTAAGTTCTGGGGTCAAGTACAAGGACATGACAGCTTCAGTGTTTGCGATATGCGGGTCAAACGACAAAAGATAGATAAATGGCAGCGGGATTGCGCGCGGTGGAGGGCTAGTAATTTACATTTCGAATGAAAGATATTTCGTCTTCTTCATGTCAGGATCTGCTCTCTTTCGGCTTTTCGTGGCGCCGTGGGAACCTGCTCTCAGTGAAGATGGCCGCATTGGGTCAGGACACGCTTTGCCTTTCTGGGTTAGTGCAGGCTCGTGATTGGATCCCGACCTTCTCTCGCAGGGACTCATTTGCAGCCTCACCACCTCTGCTCGCTACCCACTGAAGTCACAGCCAGCCCACGACGCTGATCAGTCATGCCTCTGTCCGATTTCCAGATACCCGATACCGTTGAGGGCCTGCAAGCGGCTCTTAGCAACGTCGATGAAGAGTAAGCGACCCGACATCTAATTAATTGGACGACTGACTGACGTTGGCTACCAGCATACACAGTACTGAAGACAGGGAACGCGAACAAGCCCGCTTAGCAGATGATGATCTACGGTTGCTGGGCGCGAAACGTCTTGCCATACGCATGTAAGCCATACAGGATTGGAGAGGCATAATCATCCATACTGACACTTGTAGACTCTTGTTGTCGAAGAGAGACCAGCGGTGTCGAGAAGCTACACAGGAACTACCAAATGCGGTCTTGGAGAATTTACCACGCGAGCTCCGAGACATGATCTACACTGAGCTGTACCGCGGAAGTCAGGACGAACCGTACGAGATTGTCGACAACAACTCTAAGCACCCATACGACCCCTTGTACGAGTTTGCGCCTATGGTCGGAGCATATGAGCCGCCATATTGGATGCTGGAACGTGAGGTCGGCCCTGAGTTCGCGCGCGAAGCTGTGGAGATTTGGTACAAGTGCGCAGATCTTTTGGTCGACATAAAGCTCCTACAACCACTATTGCAAGACGACGATGGCGTCTTGTATGACAGCTGGTCGCCTTCGGTCCGGACATGCGATTTCCTTAGGAAGCTGGACGTCGCCATCGGCCCCGCGTCATCACCGTTACACACAGGAGAAAGTAGGCCATCAAGTCGAGCAGTACACATCCGACAGATATGTCGGTCACTCTCTACCTTGTTGGAAGAATCAAGTGTTGCACGGAAGGAGGGGTTCAGGCTGCACATTGCCTTTCAATGGGATATGTCCGACGATTGGTCCGACTACCTGAAGGCAGCCTGCCCAGTGGTTTATCGTTTGAAGACTCAAGGCTTCGTGGTTTCAGGTCGCCAAAATTATGGAGAGTATATTCGACACAAGTGCTACGAAGCCGGCTGTTCGTGCGAGTGCTGGCGACTTGGAGACATTGAGTGGTACAGTAGCGGTATCGATGATTGGTTCGACTGCTCGGAGGAGGAGTGTATGGAGAGGATAGAAGAGGAGAGAAAAAGACACTGTAATGAGTAAGCGTCAGTGATAGGAAACAACGCACGGAAAGTGTATTTGGAACATGAAGCCAGTCGGTAATCGGGATGGCTGGTGCTCGGGCTTTTCATTGTCACATGAACTGGAGTTCATCCGCATCTAGACGCCATGTTAGAACCATAAGTCCTAGTAAACACCCTGTTGTGCCGATCATTGTGACATCGTTGCAGCTGGCTCACGAACCGAATGCGCGCGTTGCTTGAAATGTCGGCAACGGCGCGTCTAGGCGCGTGTATCGTGAGCTGAATATGAGGGATTAGGCGCGAGACCCCAAATGCGCGTTATGGAAAGACAATCATCTTCAGTGAAGCGGGCGAAGGCACGGGAAGTGAAATTCCGTTGACGCGTCCAGGAGAGAGTTGGTCACGCCCGTCCAAGATCAACATTACGGCCCTCTTATACTGGCCAATGGCGCTGCCCATGCCCTCACAACAGGGGTATCGGCCCCCGCAATTGCCGCCCTCATCTTCGCCACCCAAACATCAACACGGGCTTGATAAGGCCTGTCGCATCCCGCGAGTCCCTGCATAACATCCTTCCTGCGGCTATATCTTTCGTCTTGCAGAGTAACAGCGAATAAACATGCCCAAGTTCTTTAAGCGCATCTTCAGCGATGCTTTGTTTCGGAGAGAACCGGACGTCAGCGACATGCAGCGATCGCGGCGCGTGCTGGTGAGGAGCTCGGGAGGCATGCCAGAGGAACAGACGAACTGGAGAACATCGTTTTTCGATATTCAGGTTCAGGATGAGGAGCGCCGTGCGTTGAGGGATGGGGCAAGTGTAGCCGGTAGCGATATGCATGCCGCCGAACGACCTATTCTAGCACCGAGCCACGACCAAATAC